GAGTGAGTGGTCTGATGGGAAAACACGAAGTTGAGCGGAGAGACCGTTGTCTCAAAGCTCGGACGTAGAGCCAAACTCATGATGGACTGGCTTGGTCCTGTCGAGAATAAAAAATTCAACCTTCTACCGGCCCGTCCAAAAGATGTGGCATCTTTTCAAGATCCACTCCACTGTCAAGACTCAAGAGCCACTCCCGCAAGCTTCTCAACATTCTTCCGTTGACTTTCTTCTTCTCGAGAGTCTACTCGAGTCTATTTCCACTTCCTCCAGCTTCTGCCACGTGAAGATATGTGCCATGACACGTGAAGTAGTGCCCAATTGGCCTGTGATAAGGAGACAACAGTCATCCATGCCCTTCCAGAAGAAAACAAGGCTGGGGAGGCATCGTTGCAACTGTACAGTAGCAGGCCGATGAGATATTTTTAACCCAATCGTCGATCTGGCAAGGCAAGGTTTTTCCATTTCTCCTGATTAAAAAATCGCTCTTTAGTGGCTGCACTAATTCATCTCAACTGTCGTCATTCACATCCTTATCATTCGGCCTTGGCCCCGAAATTAAGCAATTGCCCAGCTGTCTTTGTGTTCGCCAAGGGCGTGTGCCTCCTATAATCCCTGCATTTCTCATGCTCGCCGCTCGGTACCTGCGTCGGGGGGTTTTTTCCCGCGGCCAAGAAATTTGCCTGTCTAGACGGTGAAAATTTTGATGGGAAAAGGAGATTGGATTGAGATTGAGAGATCTAAATCGTTAACTTAGGGCTGGATCTTGGGAAAAGCTTATCACTGTGAGAGATGAGGCCGATAGAGAGGTTGCAGCCTCTGGTGATTGAGGCCAGGATGTGCGTGATAAGACAGGTCAGGGTTTGTTAGACGAGCGAGGGGGTTCGTTCTTATCATGGCGCACTTTTGTCAACGGTCAGTCCATCAACTCAATCCTCAGTCAATTGGTGCGCATTTGCCGATGACGATCGCATCGACAAACTCTCGCTTTCACATTCTCCATGTGAATTGAATCCAGTAACCACTTCATTCTGAACTGAATCCCACAAACTTAAAGACCCCCAATCCAATTGTATTCGCATCTCACCCCACGTCGGGGGACATGATCCGCAGCGGTAGAATTACACTCTGACCATCTGTCAGCACTTAAGATCTCACTCTCTTACCCACCATTGCAAGCGATATGAACATAAAGCTTGGCAAACAGTCAAATCTCAAGCCCATAATTATCATCAAATTTGAAGCTGTTGTAGGTAAGAACCGTGTTTGTTGCAGCCTCAGAATATGCATGATTCATTTCCATTCTTCTCCGAGACCTCGAGTTTCATGCATCGCCTTGACCCACTGTAGACATCTCCGATGAAGCCTGACGAAGGATCGTTACCCTGTATCGCCGCAAAGTTTCTTTTCGTACAATTGTTTACGGTTCATGCAAGCCTTTAAGCTTAATTAATTATCGAGAAATAATCCGTAATTGAGTTTGTGTATTCTGGAGTAAGTCCATGTGCTACTTGTGTCTGTTAGGGCTGGTAATACACAGATCCTCGAACATTAGAGGCAACGTCACTTAAGACATAAAATACAACATCGAGAGACATCCGAAGCCCGAAAATAGCTTTTATGGATTCACCATTTCTTACCATAGTATTTACACCAATCATAGCGAGTACAGTGAGTTCGTTTACCAGATCTTTTAGTCATTATGATCCCAACAAGCTGTGATGAAACATGGGCTGGAATGTGAAGGGAATTATCACCTGGAACCCGCTACAGATGCCCCAGTAAATGTCTTATTTGAGCCTCCCTTGATCGCGCAAGTCTCCAAACCATTCTAGAGAAGATACTAGCAGAGCGGAGAGGGCCCCCAAGCCCCGTTGTACGGGCTGTGTCATCCCTCGCGGCCCGTCGTTGGCATTCCTGCAATGCGGGTGTAAGATCGGACGATGAGGTGAGCGGGGAATATGGAATGAAGAGAAAGGTTGGTGGTACGCAATTGATATTTTATGTGAAACATTGGAGTTCGCATTAGTATGATCGCACGATGCAACATGCTGTGGTTCTGATGTCGACGATCGTGGTTGATCATGTTCGCGTATCTATATGATTGATTGAAGGCCGAGTTGATCAGCGTGGTGGGCGACCACGAAAGGTGTCGTTGACCGAATTGGATGCAGGATAATGATGAATAAATAAAAACTCGGGTTTGGCGAGAGAGCTGATGCTCTGTGATGGCAATATGCCCGCAGAGGATGGCTGGGGGGCCGCTTGTGATGGTTGCTCACAACTCCAGGATATCCAGCGAGTTGAAGGCTTCGAGAGCTTGCAACGGAGGGTGCAAAGATATGGAAGCATTACCATAGTTAGTAGCAGTCTTTAGAGCATCGGTTTCCGCTCACAAGCCTGCCTGTCGGCGTCGGTCGGAGGGCCTCTGTCGTAAGTAAGATCACTATCCACATCGAGGTTGCTCAACATTGTAACACTCAGCCTAACTAACAAGGAGGGAGAGAGGAAAGGCGCTCAAAGATGTGGATAGATGTCCCGAGGCATTTCGGAGAATTGCAAGTTATCTTGGATATAGTGGTTCGTCGAGTTGCTGCTTGCGCGTGCTTGCCTGCTGTCGTTGAGCAACCTACCCAGCAATATGTCAAAACGATTGATGTCGGAACTTCCTCTAATCAGATCAAAGTCTCGGGCGCATATTGCTGGAAGAATTCGTACCGAGGGATTGCAGTCACAGGGTCATCGTTCTTAGTGACCTTGCAGATATATCCAGAAGCCCGCAACATCGACTGTCGCATTTATCCAGATACAGCAGAAAAGACGGGCGAAGACACAAGGAACAGTCCGTATTTGTTTGAGATGCAATTTCGGGAGATCTTGCTGTTATTATAGTTTTTGGGTAGTCACAAGAGTAATGGCCCATGGTCGTCGGCATTTGGCTATGTTGCATTGTTCATCTCGGCACTGCACTCGACGCATAAAGATGAGCAACGCTTCCAAACTGTAAATCATCAAACATGCTGAGGGTAACGGCGGTTGAGTCGCGAGACACCAAAGTGATAGACGGCCTGTACACAAATGGCCAATAAACTATGCTGCTGTGCACTGTACCATCAACAGTGAAGCTGGACGGGTGAAGGCGGCAGCGATGGAGAGAATCTTGACTCCAATGCTGGTGCCATCTCAGGTTTTGCTGCTTTGGAGATGCCGGTCTGCCAAGACGAAACCGATTGCGCGCACTCTGGGCGGAATAATCACAGTGGTACGGGTGGTTGTAGTTGACGGGACTTCAGTCAAGCAGATGGGAACGCATCGAGCACCGTCGCATGCATTATGAATAATATCTGCTTCATTTTAGCGACCAGTGATCTAAGGTGGGCGAGTGGGTGAACCTACATTACTTTTCTACGTACGCAACTCGTCGCTATTGAGGTCCCTCTTTGCCGTCCTCCCAGTCCTTCAATGCTGCACTAAGCGCCTTCTTCGCTTTAAGTTGTCGGGCTAGGAAAGGAGCGCTGAAGAGCTCATGGAGAGGCATTTCGCTGTTTGCGTGGTCTTGCGCAAACTCAACGGTACAGCCCTTGCCCAACTTCTGCTTCGCGATCTTGACACTCTCGCGCAGCATATCCCCACCAAGTCCTCGACGTCTGTACCGCGCTCTTGTTGTCCATGCACGAATGAAGGCAGTCTTGTTGCTCTTCTCTAACCGAAGGACCACCACAGCGATGATGTCCTTGCCAAAGCGCGCCCCAATGATGGTGTCCTCACCTCCATCGTTCTTCATCCAGTCAAGCCAATTCGTCTCCTCAGCGATGCGAATGTACGCGCTGGTGAAGTATCGAATTGCGACCAGATATGTGAGTATGATACCGGGGTAGATGATTAGCATAGTGCTGATGTCTTTGCCAATGCCCGCGCCATAGTGTGCGATCGCAAGAATGGCGATGAATACAGAGAGAGGAATTGGGTGGAAGATCATGGCGCGTGATGCTGTTTGACGCTGCTGCGCGACACTGTCGGCGATGAGTTTGAGAGCATCTTTCTTTTCCTTTGGATCGGTTAGGATCTCGATTGATAGAGGTGGTGGTTCTGACATGGTGATGTTGGAAGAGTGAGATGACAAGTTGACGTATGATGCGCGCGCAAAGAATGCGACAACCTTGCCTAAGGTATAAGCGAAAGTAATAACACCCTTAAAAGCGACGGCCCGAAAAGAAGAGATAGTCACAAGAGAAAAGAAAGAGACAGAATTCGATGACCCAGACTTAGAAGAGTCGTTGGAAGACACGTGCTCTCCAAGTCGCAAAAGTCTTGGCCCGCGGGATTAAAGCGGCAACACAATCGATGCTTCTCATCAGCTGAAGCCGTGATACCCGAAATATCGAATACTCCAAAAGTCCAAACGCCTTCGGTGACCCAATGCAGCAGAACTTTACCACCAACAAGCTTAGTCCTTAATGACAAGCTTACTCTCTCGGTGACTCCATTCAAGTCCAGATGCACCTCAATCTGTCACTTTTGACGCCAAGGCGGGTCGGAGCCACGCTAATTCCGTGCCGTGTCCCGAGACCCCAGAACACTCGTAGCCAAGCAATCTCAACGCTTGAATGCACGTGGGAACCGAGCTCGACGTCTATTCGTCCTCACTTATAACTGTCGTGTGCTTCATCCTATACCGAGCATGGAGACTCAGGAGATAGCATGTCGAGTTCTAGAAGAGCATGTCCTCGAGAAACAAAATTTGACTGGTGCGTCTCGGTTCAGACGGCTCTTGATGGGATTTTTGTAGGAGAGAAGTATGGGGGATTAATATTGAGGTCAATTTATATATATCAGATCGTTTGGTTCCTTTCCAGATCTCTTGGCTTGTTCTTGGCTGCAAGGATAATTTCACTTGTAAACGTGCCGCTGGGTACCCTTTCCAAGTACACGTACGTACAGTACACGAAAATCAAGACCAGTTTCTATTCTTCCTATCGTTTATTAAAATAATTCTTCCTAAAATGGCTACCACTCCTGGTCCCGTCGCCAAGACAAGCGGCGGCAACAATGCCTTCCACAACTTTCACAACGACTTTGCTCACATCGCCGACCCCAATGAGCGTCGTCGTCTTGCCCTCGCCGAGATCGACAAGGCTCCCTTCGGATGGTACCATGTTCGCGCATGTGTCGTCGCCGGTGTTGGTTTCTTCACTGACTCCTACGACATCTTCTGCGTGTCCATGTTGACCATCATGTTGGGTATTGTGTACTACCCTAGCAAGGGAAAGCTTGCTACCAGCTCTGATAATGCTATCAAGCTCTCGACTTCTGCTGGTACTGTTATTGGACAGCTTGGATTTGGTATGCTGGCCGATATTGTCGGTCGTAAGAGGATGTATGGTCTCGAGCTCATTGTCATTATCTTTGCAACTCTTGCTCAGGCCCTGACTGCTGGTTCCCCTTCCACCTCGCTTGTTGGTCTCATCATCTTCTGGCGTGTAGTTATGGGAGTAGGCATTGGTGGTGATTATCCCCTTTCTTCCATTATTACCTCCGAGTAAGTCCATTCGACTTCACAGCTATGGTGTCCTGGCTGACTAACATCACAGGTTCGCTACCACCAAGTGGCGTGGTGCCATGATGGCTGCCGTCTTTGCCATGCAGGGTATCGGCCAGCTCGTAGCCGCTCTTGTCATGATGTTCCTCACCCTTGGCTTCAAGTCTTCCCTTGAGGGTGCCCCTGATACCAAGCACTGCACTGGAGACTGCCAGGTTGCCGTTGACAAGATGTGGCGTACCCTTGTTGGCTTCGGTGCCGTCCCTGCTTGTGTTGCCCTCTACTGTAAGTCGCTTGCACCTCTACCCCTCAACACATACTGACACTGGCATAGACCGTCTCACCATCCCTGAGACTCCTCGTTACACCTTCGACGTTGCCCGTGACGTTGAGCAAGCCGATGAGGACGTCAAGGCCTACATGACCGGCAAGCGTGAGGGTGACGCCGACGAGGTCGCCCGTGCTCAGGCCCACGCCAGCGCCAAGTCCAACCTCCAGGTTCCCAAGGCCGGCTGGAGTGACTTCTGCCAGCACTACAGCAAGTGGAAGAACCTGTCCATTCTCATCGGTACCGCCGGTTCATGGTTCTGTCTTGATGTTGCCTTTTATGGTCTCAGCTTGAACAACGGTACTATCCTTAAGGTTATCGGTTACTCTACCAAGGATGCCAACAACATGTACGAGTACTTGCACAACACTGCTGTTGGTAACATCATTATTGTCTTGGCTGGTGCTGTCCCTGGCTACTGGGTCTCGGTTGCTACTATTGATACCCTTGGACGAAAGACTATTCAGCTTGGTGGTTTCATCATTCTGACTATTCTCTTCATTGTAAGTTGCTGTCATGGCTGGCGGTTACAAAACTAATATGTTTAGGTCATGGGTTTCGCTTACAACCACATCTCCTCCAACGGCCTCCTCGCCATCTACGTCCTTGCCCAGTTCTTCTTCAACTTTGGTATGTCTTTATTTCACTACTAAACACACAAACTAACAACCTCAGGCCCCAACACTACCACCTTCATCGTCCCTGGTGAGGTCTTCCCTACCCGCTACCGATCCACTTCCCACGGTATCTCCGCTGCCTCAGGAAAGATCGGTTCCATCATTGGCCAGGGTGCCATCTCCATCCTCCGCACCCATGGTGCCACCGACAAGAACGAGGCCCCCTGGATGGACCACGTTCTTGAGATCTACGCTCTTTTCATGCTTCTCGGTATCTTCACCACTCTTCTCATCCCTGAGACTGCCCGTAAGACTCTTGAGGAGCTCAGTGGTGAGGATGACTATGCCAACAACCCTGAGACTACCATTGATACTGAGGCTCACGCCGGTAAGAATGAGCGAACCAGCGGTTAGGAGTGTGTCACTCTTTTATGTTGGTGCTGCTGATTGGTTGTGTTGGTATCACATGCAACTTGGCAGTGATCTACGGACCCTGCTGGGCTGATGGAACAGAACCTGATTTACTAAACCATTCCTTGATTTGGTTGAGATGCTTGGAAGCTCAACAAGTACATTACAAGTTTATAGCAAAATTAATAATCACTAAATAAATACCAAGTTACTGGATCATCGTGACTTGACCGTGCTCAGTTACAACTTATTAGTGAAGAAGAGATATTGAGTGATATCAATCTGTATTGAAGCATAAAGTATACTTCGTGGTATATACCAATAATAATTAAGCATTCACATAATAGTATCGCTTGTCCGTATCCTGTATCGTTCCTTAACCGAGACCATCCATCAAGCCGAAGGGATACCCAACCCTTTATCCAGTCCATTACCAAAACACCAAAAGGAATCATCCAACAGTAATTACTCCTTCTTGCCACCCAAGAGTCCGCCAACGGTGTTACCAACGCCCTTTCCAACATCTTGTAGCCCCTGGGCAGCACCCTGTCCACCACCTACAACAGCATTCGCTGTGCTGTTCATGGCTCCAGATCCTGGAACATCCTTGTTGACGTATCCGCCGTTCTCATCACGACCTTGTCGCTCAGCTCGGTTCACGCCCTCCTTTGATGCGAGGTCGCCGACGGGTTGGAGAAGTCCTCCTTGGCCGACTTGACCGGCAGCGAGGTTATGGACGCCGTCTTGGAGAGTATCGACTTGTTCGACGCCTGTGACTTTGGTCTTGTCGAGGTTTTCTATCATGATGTTAGAAGAGAGGGGCTGTGATGGGGAGATGTGAACTCACGCTTGGCCGCATAGCTTGTCTTGTTATCCTTGGTGAACCAGCGAAGATAGATGTCCTCCATCCAAGGAACCCACTTCTCGTACTGCTCGTTATAGGTAGCCTTTGTCCACTCCATTGTGAAGAATATCAAACAAAATTATGTGGAATCTGCTGTATCGTTTATCGTCTTGTTTATCTTGTAATCTAGATATCTACCAGATTCAAAGACCGTGCTGAGGACATCATTATATACACATTGCGCGTCTTGCTACGTCATCCACTTTGCAAGGATCTGAAACGACGCAAGACAAATCTCATAGGCTGTTTCATTTCTTGGTGGTGGTTGACCAAGACGCATTGTGATGCCATGCTGAGTCTTTTGGGTGTGGCGCGTGTCGCTCTAAAAACCGGTTCTCGTGGCGCCTCGACGTCATTTGGTGGGAGGACGACAGGGATGAGCCACGATGGTGTTTATTCTACGGTCCACCAATCAAAGAGGAAGAGAGCGAGATATGTACAGGCCCCAAGGGCTCCAAACATTAAATGACATCTTTTCTTTAAGAATATCTAATTGCAAGGCTTATACCGATTCCGCCGTGGTAAAAATACCTATTTGATCGCGGAATTTAACCTTTGGAGCCCTTGTGGCCAGTACTGTACTGTACTTCTTTTTGGGCGAGGGAGCTAGGGGAGGAAATGAAACTCGGGACCTTGAACCTGACTGATAAAAAGACTAATCTGATAGGGACTCTGTCATGCCTTAGACTCTTCTTGCCATTATTAAAAAACGCCGCATGTTTCTCTGTTGTCAAAATATCCGAGGATGGAAGTTTCCTGTTTTTTATCTTCCCACCACAGGCTTCAGCCAAAATTCGAACCATCATAATTAGGCCTGTTCTGTCGACGACTTTGGTGTTCATACTGATGGTGAGGATAGAAGTGCTTGGGTCGAGGGTTAACTTTAGCTCCATCACAGGAGAAGGTTTCGACTCCGCCCAAGGCTCATTAGGCTCCTGTATGGGGACATGGTTCTCGTTGATCCAACCCATAGGCCAGTCCTCGTCCTCCTTATGACTAAAATCAAATACGGGGATATCTGGAAGGTTGTCGATCTGGAAGCGAGGTATGACTTGGAAAGGGATGATCTTGTATTTATTGGCTCCCTGATCTGTGAGTCCGTCATGTTGGACTTGGCCGGAGATCCAGGGAAATTCTCTCGAAAGGCGTACCAGGCCCTTGTGCACACGGGAAATAAACACGCTGCGTGAAAAAGAGGTTTTGCCGTGGAAGACAAAGCAGAGGTTGTGATACTCTCCGAGATAGACTCTATCGGTTAAGGGGACGATTTTGGTGTTCATGTCCAGATCGGCCATTTTGTACTGTAGCTTTTGCTGATATTTGATGTGATGTGCTATGTTGATGATAACTTTGTAGTTGTGAAAGGAATTCTGACCTCAAATGGATGGTATCGGCAAAGGAGAGAGGAAGAAAGGGAAGGAATACAGAGCCTACCATAGCGGGAGGGGGTTAAACACCTGAGGTGTCAAAGGGAGGAAAGAAGAGCTCAGGACCGGGACCTTAGCCCTAAGTGATAAAAGTCTTTAGGTAAACTTAGCCTAAGCTTAGGGGACTCTTTACTTAGTTTATTTTGACACCTTATATTCAGGTTCGGTGTTTCTTGCCTAAGGGGAGCTTCTCGTGGCAACAGCAATGTAGTCTTCAAACGCAAGTGCAGATCTGAACAGGAACTTAGTTCCAGCTTTATCGCTGAAGCTCATCGAATGAAGCAACACCTTGCGTCCCAAGCAACTCCTTCATCCTTTCGCCCATGACTCCAGGGTGCGGCACTATGATAGCTCCTGCATCTTCGAGAGCTTTAGTCTTGGCCTCTGCAGTAGCATCTCCATCTCTCCAGATCGCACCAGCATGTCCCATGGCCTTTCCTTCAGGCGCCGTGCGCCCTGCTACCATCGCTATGACAGGCTTGGGTCTTGGGGACGTGCGGCGATGTTCTCTAATGAGCTCCGCGGCTTCGAGCTCTGCCTCGCCCCCAATTTCTCCAATGACAATGATTCCCTTGGTTTCATCATGGTTGAAGAAGAGCTTGAGTCCATCTGCCAGGGTCGTGCCTGTCCCGTGTTAATGGCATGTCAGCTTGTGTGATGAGGACTTACCTGGTAACATATCGCCTCCCATTCCTACAACGAGACTCTGTCCCAAGCCAACTCGTGAAGTAGACCCAACAGCCTCGTAGCTCAAAGTACCTGACTTGGACACTATACCAACACAGCCGCGAGTATACTGCTTGTAGGGCATTATACCTACGCGACACTGGTTCGGGGCGATGATGCCTGGACAATTGGGACCTACCAGTCGGGTCTTGGACTGTGTTCTCAGGACCTCATGAACCCGAAGCATATCGTGAACAGGTACATGTTCTGCTACAGAGACAACGAGAGGAACCTCTGCCTCAATGGCCTCGAGAATGGCTGCGGCTGCGAATTTCGCGGGGACAAAGACGGCGCTGACGTCTGGGTTGACCTCCTTCATCGCCTGGGACAGCCATTAGATTGGGCAATTGAATGAGCCAGTGACTCACCTCTTTGACGGTGCTGAAGACTGGGAGGCCGAGGTGTGTCTGGCCACCTTTGTCTGGAGAGACTCCCCCGACAACTTTTGTTCCATAATTTATCGTGTCCTTTGCATTTATGGTTGCCTGGTCGTGAGAAGTCAGTGTCTAGCTTCGTGACGCGTGGGATTGAGTCGCGTGCGCACCACTGGGCCTGTAAAGCCTACTCGATTGGCGTGGCGTAATTAGTCAATCCCTCCTATATACACAGAAAAGCATCACACAAGCATACCTTGGTATATAACTCGAGTCTGGTCTGTTATCTTGAGGTTCCGTATTGTTCTATCGTATGGACTTGTATGAGTTGAGGACGTGGAGAAGTATTTCGCTGTCCTGAGAATATTTGCCGCAGAACGAACATGATGGGAAACCCGTGGTGTTATCATCCTAAGTGTGTTACGTCCAACTGAGCATACAGAAAAAAATTACATAGAAAGATGTGACCTTACGCGAGGTGCCGCTGAACAACGCAATTGCACGTTGCTTCCGAGGTCAATTGGTGATGGGTCGCGAAACTACCCCGCCATTGGCGATCCTCAAGATCACCATTGCCAGCTAACCTGTAGCAAGAGATACAACAAGCAATTGGCCTTGATAAAGAGCTTTCTAATCGTATCGAAGTTGACGTTAGGGAACCTGTCATCTGATGAAGTTAAAATAATGTCGTTTCATTCTTCCAAAATCAATGCAAGCTTGTTGCACATCACAATGTCTCTATAATGAGAATTAACCAGGCGTTTTTTGATCAGCGTTTACACGAAGTATGTTGGGGAACTGTCCGAGCCTGAACCATCATTTCCTATCTATTCGACGTATGTTCTGAGGGATTTCACTCTGGCATGTGATACTTTCTATCCCCCATGACTCTTCCGAAAGCCTTCTACGTAGCTGAGTGCTGGCCATAAGGTCAATCTTTAGGCTGCTAACACAGAGATATCTGAATGGCTTCAGTTGAACATGTTCACTGGCTGCCAGGTGGGGCTCAACCAGGATGAATCCACGGCGTGACGCACAGAGTCATCTCTAAGCCGCATTTGGAAGGCGGTCAACGTTCTGAGCTTCACAGGGCGTGGCAGAAATCGTACCCCACCGCTGAATCTTTCTTTTCGTTGATTGAAGTTTTTGCGAACGCGCCGTACAAAACTCCCAGCAACTCCGCCCTGCCATATTAGCAGTTTCTATTCTTTATATAAACGAACAATTGACAGAACAAACGGCATCATGAAGGTTGTTCTTGTGAGCGGCGGAGTTATCTCTGGTGTCGGCAAAGGTATGCTTATCGTCGTCGCATCCTTGTTATGAAGGGCGTGCTAATTCGTGAATCACAGGCATTATCGGTATGGCAATTGATGAGCTGTGCTGATCTTCTCAACGACTGACACCAATGTTAGCCAGTAGCGCTGGTCTTCTTCTCAAGACTCTTGGTCTTCGAGTCACGGTACGATACGACAACCATGGTCACCGAACGAGCTTTGACTAACGTTACCAGGCGATCAAAGTAAACCCCACCGACGAAACCCTCCCTCACCGACGAATCTAACACTCGACTAGACCGATCCTTATATCAACACCGACGCTGGTCTTCTCAACCCTCTTGAGTATGTTGCGACTCAAATCAATCGTCATTTCTCCCGTTAACACATCCCAGGCACGGCGAGTGCTTCGTTCTCGACGATGGCGGCGAGGTAGGCTCAATATTCACCGACGAAAAACTTTGTGCTGACCCCTCAGACCGATCTCGATCTTGGAAACTACGAGCGGTATGTTCTTCGACAACAAGACTCGACCGAAACTCGACCAGGGACTTATAGTACTCCAGATACCTTGGCATCCAATTGAGCCGTGACAGCAACATCACTACCGGCAAGATCTACCAGCAGGTCATTGTACGAACCCTCACGAATCTTCGATGCGCGATCCACGACCGCTAATACAATTGATGTAGGAGAAGGAGAGACGTGGAGACTACTTGGGAAAGAGTATGTGTTACGTTTGAGATTGTTGTTTTATGCGGATGCTAACGATTTCGTAGCTGTTCAGGTACATTGCGCAGCACAACGATCTTGTAGATCCAACTAACAGCATTCGAGGTCGTCCCCCACATCACAGATGCCATTCAGAACTGGATTGAGCGCGTTGCCAAGATTCCAGTTGACGCTTCTGGTGAATCGCCAGATGTTTGCATCAGTACGTTTTCCATGAGCCAGATCTCACCCGACATTCGCTAACCCACCATAGTCGAACTTGTACGATCTCCTACCGATTACCGATGGCTTGGCATAGCGACTGACTTGGCGGCAGGGCGGAACAATTGGCGATCTCGAATCCGGTCCTTTCGTTGAGGCCCTTTCAGTATGAAACCCAGACCGATCTCGAAGCTTGATACTGACAGTATAAAGCAATTGCGACACAGACTCGGCCGCGACAACTTCCTCAGCATCAGCGTTTCCTACGTCCCTATCATCAATGGAGAGGAGAAGACAAAGCCCACTCAGCATGCCATCCGACAAGTTCGAAGCGCTGGTCTGATCCCCGATGTGGTATGTTCCTCGCGATCCATACCAGTCCTCGCCTAACGTCTCCAGATTGCCTGCCGCTGCGAACGAGAACTCGACATCGCTACCATCACAAAGATCGCCCGAAGCTGCCAAGTCGAAGACGAGCAGGTCATTGGCGTCCGCAACATGGACACCATCTACCAGGTCCCTCTCCTCCTCGAGCAGGAGGGTCTTCTTAAGCTTCTTCGCAAGGGTCTCGCCCTCGAGAAGCTTGAGGTTGCTCCTCCCATGGCTCAAAAGGGCCAAGCTCTTTGGGACCTCTGGAAGAAGACCGTTGTCCCCGATCGACACCTCGAACCCGTCAACATTGTCTTGGTTGGCAAGTACGTCAGCCTTGACGACTCGTATCTCAGTGTTCACAAGGCACTCGAGCACTCTGCTATGCGATGCAAGCGCAAGCTGAACCTCATCTCCGTCGATTCCGAGCACCTCGAACCCGATATGCAGCAGAAAGATCCTAGAAAGTTCCACGAGGCTTGGGCTCATGTTGTTCGAGCTCAGGGTATCATTGTTCCTGGTGGTTTCGGTACTCGAGGTATCCGTGGTATGGTTGACGTCGCCAAGTGGGCTCGTGAGCGAAAGCTCCCCTATCTCGGTATCTGCTTGGGTATGCAGACTGCAGTCATTGAGTACGCTCGCAACGTGATGGGACTTAAGGATGCGACATCCGAGGAGTTTTCTGCTACCGCTGAGCACAAGGTTGTCATCTTCATGCCTGAGGGCTCCAAGGAGTAAGTCAATGTTAGGTGAATCAAGGAAGGGATGCTAATAAATGACAGGAAAATGGGTGGCACCATGCGACTTGGTAGCCGAACATCCCACTTCAAGCCTGGCACCGAATGGAGCAAGCTCCGAGGTCTGTACGGAGGAGCCGATGTTGTAGAGGAGCGTCACCGACATCGCTATGAGGTGAACCCCGACTACATTGAGGATCTCGAGAAGGCTGGTCTTTCCTTGACCTCAATGGATGACCTCGGTGTCCGAGTTGAGACCATTGAGTTGAAGGATCATCCCTTCTTTGTTGGGTGAGTATTTTCTATTGCAAATATCGACTATTGGCTGACCGTCAACAGTCTCCAGGCTCATCCTGAGTACAAGTCGAAGACCTTGGCCCCCGCGCCTTCGCGTGAGTATCTCAATGTTGCTTCTCACCGCCCACCATGGCTGACTGACTGTATTAGTGCTCGGACTTGTCGCCGCCAGCTCTGGATGCCTCGACGAGATCATCGAGGCCGCTCGCGTGAAGAAGGAGGCCACCAACGGAGTCAGCGACGTGACCAACTTTTAGATGGCGCAGTTCAATGTCAGGCTTAGACTGGGAGACGGTCCCACGGATTGGGGGTTCTGGGCTTAGATCTACGTAGGACGTGAGATAACGAGGTTTTTTAGACTGCATGGTTGGCGTTGGGTGCTTAAAAATGAACTATACCTTGGCGAAAATGATAGACATGAATTTACAGATGCATTGTATACTGAAGTGCTCTCAGTTTGAAGTTCTCAATCTTGGTGACTGGTGATCAATTGAACGTCCAACACAACGCTTTCTGCTCGCGCAAGTCCACCAGTCGCTAATAAATGGATAGCGACGCCTGCGACTGTTTAACTGAGTGTTTAGCTAGTTTTGCTTCATATTCCCTCTGTGATGCATTGTCAATTGAACTTGGCGACGGCGAGATTGGACAGTTCGCCGGTGACACGTGACTCAGATTTGTCCCAGTACCGGACCCCTCGTCGATCGTCTCGGCAACGTTCTTTAATATCATCAAATTGTGAAATTCTGGCGTCTGTTAATTTTTACTACTGCAAAGCCATGGCTCTTAGATTTAGATCCGAACTGCGAAACATTCCTTTATTCTCGAACACGCTCAATGTACTGATCGTCTCCCAACTTTTACGCTCACTTGCTAAGGGAATGCCAGACTCAGATAAGATGTCTACATATACACGAATACCAGTCACAGAAGCTCATGGAAAAAGTAAGTCGAGATTTCAGTTATGGAGTCACAACACGGCGAGCTTAAGACGTTTTACTTAGGAAGGGATACCCATTCCAATGGGTGAGCTTGTTAAGTCAAAGCGAGCTGGACAGGTGATGATGGATCGTATAGCAGACGGAGCAAGTAAGCTACGAGACACAAACTTTGGTTGATCCATAATGCTAATGTTCACTCTGAAAACCCTCACGCACTTTTAAAGCCCCAGAACCTCCATGGAAAACGAAAGTTCTCAGAAATAAGAGACAAGGCAGCCGGAAGAGGTCAAATAAAAGCGCTACTACGCTATATCAGAGATACTACCGGACAGAAAGACCACAGGGATCTGACAATCCCGGTATATATGGAAAAGGTTGTGGAACCTGAAGAGAAGTGGCGTCTCACCATGGCTGTTGACCGAGAGAGATATCGACCGATAATCAAGATTCGAGATGCCAAGAGTCACAAGGGCCTTCCCAATGTTATATACGAGTCTGCGTTTCAGGAAGTGTTCGAGTTCAGTCTGAGCACCGGCATCACTGAGGAGTTACTCACCGACATAGCGCAGAGCTTCCATCTGGGCAAGGCCTCAAAGGAAAGCTTGAGAGAAGTCATCCAACGCCTTTTCAACATCTTTCGAGACAAGGAAGCGCTCAGTCTGGAAACAGATCTATTGTTTCTCAAAGATGGAACGTTTATGTGTAACAACTCGGATTTCTTCTTTGACGACGCTGCGTGGTCGCGACAACAAAAGCTTTTTTCTCTGAGGGATAAGGGACAGGAGATCCGGGAAGAAGTGCGAGCTGAAAAGCACGGGCTGGTGTATGTTCATATGAATGGGAATATTGGAAATGTGGTTAACGGTGCGGGACTTGCGATGGCGACGAATGATGCGATTAGTCTGTATGGTGGTTCGAGTGCGAACTTTCTTGATGCTGGGGGTCAAGCTACCAAGGAGACGATGCTGCAGGCCTTCAAGATCATCATGTCTGACAAGCGAGTCAAGGCGATTCTGGTCAACATTTACGGAGGTATGTTTGATCCTAAGGTATTGAGTATGAACTGACAGCAGTAGGAATCACAAGATGCGACATGATTGCAGAGTCCATCATCGCAGCAGCAAGCGAGCTGGGTCCTTTGAAAGTTCCTATGGTAGTCAGGTTACAGGGAACGAACTCGGAGGCTGGACTGCAGCTGGTAAGTGCTTCGCGTGTGAAATGTGGATAATAGCTGAAATGATTCTAGCTCAAAGATGCTACTTTGGATATCCACGTTGAGGCAGACTTCGGAAAGGCGGCTCAGGAGGCAGTCAGGTTGGCTGACATAGGCGAGAAAGCTGAGAAGCTCCGGATGAAGCGCCAGAGTATTCCTGAGCTTTAAGAGAATAGCTAAGCGGACAAGATATCAAGATTCCGTGACTGGATCCTTGATATGACCATAACATATAGATATAGGGTCTCGCCACGGCTATTTGGAGAAACATCTCAGATATGTTGCCGATATACGTGAAAGGGACCTTTATCCCAATAGAGTAACCACCGGCATAACTTGATAACTCAGGCAGACGCGCGGAATCCCGACTGTCCTTGTAAGCTTACCAACCAATAAGACCATCTCCAATTAGACACTGAGTGCCGTGAACCCCTGTTCATCCTCGTGATTCCTTCGATATACTAGGCCGGATATGGGCGGATGCATCCTTCAGGGCCAGAAAGAGCATAGCATCGAATCTCCCCAGAATATAAACACACGTAAGCACCAGCTCACCACAAACAACAATGCTTTTCGTTTCTCATGTCAGTACTTAGACCCTCGAGAGACTTAGTGAAGCCTGAGTGAAGCGTCAACTGTCATGCCGCGACAATGGCTGCTCTCAAAACTCGCCTTGGCTTCACAACCACGACCTCGTTCTCTCTATTCTGCCTCTTCGGGGGTCTATTATTTCTGTTCTCAACTCTTCAACTTCCCTACATCAACATCGACGGTGTATTCTGCGCAAAGGGAAATCCCTGGTCAGTTCCCGGAGAATGCTATGTGTTCCAGAAACCAGGCCTCATGCGGTCTGGCATGCTGCTACACCTGGTGACGTTCTTACCCGCGGGTGCTCTGGTGTGTTTTCAGTTCATACCGGCTCTTCGCAGACCGAAGTATATCAAGTTTCACCGCGTGAATGGGTACATAGTTCTGGTACTCTCAGCCGTGGGGACGGTGGCGGCATTGATTATTGAGAGTGAGGCTATGGGTGGCATATTCTCAAACAGAATAGGAACGTGGACTCTTTCGACGCTGGTTACTACTGCGATGGCGAAGGGTTATGTCAGTATCAAGAACAGAGAGATCGAGAAGCATCGTGCGTGGATGCTGAGGGCCTGGTTTTGGGTGAGCACTCCGCTAACTAAAGTCCTAACGTTACTGACTTGCAAAAGGCAACATCGATCATCACCATGAGATTCATTCTCGTATCACTAGCCCACATTATAGGCCACCCTTCCCGATCGATGACCATGAGCATGTCATGCGCAGTCATCGAGTATTTACACGAAAGTTTCCCTGGAGCGAAGCAGGACCCATATCCAAGTTGTGCAGCATACGCCTCAGGTGAGAATCCGTTGCAAGAAGCACTTGTGACGACCAATTGGGATTTGAATGATTTGCCCGGTATCACGGCTGCTTTAAGAGTTGGATATGCTGTTGGAGGTTGGCTAGGCTTTGTTATCAATGCCATCGGAATAGAAATCTACGTAAGTTACTTTCTGTTTTTATTATTATTGGAATCTGACGGTAGACTAGATATGGAAGACGACACCTGTCCGAAAGCTGAAAGTTTAATGAAAGGCTAGATATTGGTGTATATAGTAACTAGAAAATATGTATATATGACTATAAAAGTATCACAAAGAATATCTCGGAAGTGGCTTGATATGCCTCGCTGAGGCGTCATAAGCTTTAAGCATCAATCAATAACTCGGAGGGAAGGTTTGAACACATATAACCGTTTTATTCTAATACGCTGTATCTAGCCCGTCCATTCTCAGCTTCTATACCCCTCTAGCCTTCTAATTCCTAATCTGAGCAGCAGTTTTGGTAGGCGAACCGTATATAATTTCGTCGCCATTTCTCTGTGGCTCCAATCTCACAACCTCCCTCGTTGGTTCCCAATGCACAGTTCCATATCGGTACAACTCTCCAAAAGTCCCAGGACGATATGTGATATCGTGATTCTCCTTATTCTTGACGAGATCGCCCAAAGCTAGACGGTCACCCATTGAGTTGTGATACATCTTGTACATGTGACTCTTCTCGAGCATTTCCACCATGAAGGCTTCAGCTTCACTTCTCTTGTCGAGATCAGGCTCATCGAGGCGTGTGAGGAAATAGTCGGCTTGCTTTTGGCCGTCGAGGTTGGTCTTGAGAGCACCGAGAATACCGTTTTCGATGCCTTCTACCATAAAGACCTTGTTCTCCCAGAATTCACGGCCGTTGAAGCCGGTGGTGACGTCGACGAGGTTACGGGTGCGGTCGCCGATAACCATTTGTGAAACATAGTCTGTCATGAAGTAGATCTGACTCTCATCCTCAGGATTTGCAAGACCTTCAGCGAGACCGATCTCAGTGATGAGAGGATGCTTGTGAAATCCATCGACATTCGTTCGGCCCTTCCACAGCTCTTTATATCCTTCATGCCAGTTCTTGATGAACTCGCAGTTCTTGCGAGCAGCAAACATGAAATTACCAAAGTCACCCCATTTGGCTCTGATTTGGCCTGTGATTATCCATGCAGCCATTTCATACGGCGTGTCAGGCGATGCAACGTGATTCCAGAACAGCGTGTCAAGATGGATATGCAGCATATTGCTAACGTCCATCCAAACTCCGCCATGTTCGTAAATAAGAGGTAGGCGAGCAAGGTCGGCTGCATGTTGAGGAGCGTGTTTGCCATCCATGGTTTTATTGACAAAGGTTTCTGGAAACCACTCTTTGCCAACATACTTGAAAATGTTGTTAGGTGAGCCTTCGACAAAATCTACCAGGCGAACCGTCCATGAAGGACCGAGGCGTCTGACCCAGTTAATCACTGTGCGTTGATGGCTGGGGTACATGGCGTAGAAGCCTTTGTCCCAGACTGCCCAGACATTCTTCTCTGAGGTGATGGGCTGATATGTCTGGAGTTGAGCGATGATTTCAGAGTCGGGGCGGAGATCTAGCAGTGAAGGGTCGATTTCGCGCAGGCCTGTAGCGCACTTGGGGATTGTAAATTTGCTCATTGCTGAAGTTGTAGTTGTAGAAGTTGGTGTGAGAGTTGGTGTTGGGCTCATGTGTGAGGAGTTGAGTAATGGAGGTGAATGATGGTGAGCTTGGAAGGAACGGGGGGTTTTATGCAGTTATTATATCGATGAAGTGAGTGAATCGAGATGAGTCGATTTCTTTATCGAGGATAGCCTCAATATTTATGACTCTGTAGCTGGAGAAGAGTGATTCTGAAGGAGAATCATGATAGGCTGGGGGATCTTTGATTGACCTTGGCGGAGATCTGAACTAACCGGAAACGGGCCATTTCACGATGAATCATCCAGTGACACTTTTGATTGGACACCACTGTGCTTATTTTCGTACTCGCCTCTCTTCCTCCAACTCTCAAGCGATAATTCTTCCTCAGCCATTGGCCATTCATCTACTGATGATCTTCTCAATAGGTTCAAGTTCTATTAAACTCTTCATCTTGATGTTTGACTTTATTCAACCATCTACTCAGCCATCTCTCTAACCTCCTCGCAATATCCCTGGTCAAACCCATACACCATCTTCACCTTTTTATTTTCAGGCCCCAGCATATGCACACGAATTGTTCTAACTCTCGCACTCTCGGGTATGTCACTACTGCATCTCACCTCTCTTCCACTCCTGGCCTCTTCAAGTTCCATCACCTTTGCTCCTACTCTGGCTGATTGGGTTCCATTAAACACCCCTTCTTGTACGCGTTCTGCCAGCATTACTGCAATAGCTCTTCTTCGAACATGTGGATCGCGGCATCGTGCGATAACCGAAACCAAGACTGATGTATACCCCAGGTCAACGTGGAAATATGCTTCCGAGGGAGAGTCTTTAGCCCAGTTTCTTTGAGTGTAGTTCTTATCAAGTCCAGCTGCCGTGGCTGCGTAGTTTACAATCTCGTCAAATTCAGCAGTGAAACGATCCCAAAAGCAAGGGTCACCTTGACCGTGCAGGTACTTTGCGACGTTGATCTCCAGGTACTTTCGATGAAGCTGCAACAGGGCGATTGCTCGCTGCTCACCAATAGTCAAGACTTTGCCACTGTTCTCAAGCTCAGTCAAGAGATTATCAAACGACCGGCCCCATTGCTCGACCTTTGTAGCATGCGATATTGTCTCGTAGATTGACTTTCCCTTCAAACCGGGACTGGCCTGCTCAACAAGGAGCTCTAGTATAGCTTCTCTGGCATCAGAAAGAGATGAAAATGAAGCTCCAGCAGGTGGAAGTGTAGTGCTGAAGGTCTCACGGTATGATGTCCAAACGCCTGCATCAACGTCCCCCAAGAGCTTGAAGAGGTTAGTGGAGGTTCAAGATGACGGAAGTACATATGGTGAGGACATACCATAAGGAGTTGCACCGCAATACGTCTGAAGCAGGCATCAGCAAGATCAAAGGTTGCTTCGACGTCAGAATTCAAGTCAGGGCGACGGTCTCCATTGCTAGAGAAGTTCCTTCTGAATTGTTGGATCATGGCACAGCCATAGCGAAATAGACCAATGGCTGAGTCCGTCTTTCCATGAAGAAGCTGGAGGCAGGTTAGCATAAATTAAGCAATAGCAGTAGGAAATAAGTTACCTCAATGCAGATGAAAATCAAACATGAAAGCACTAGAATATGACCTTGTGATGAGGTGCTAGGTGAAGGGTTGAGAAGTTCCTTGATAGCAAGGTTGTAGTGTTTCAGTGCAGAAACAGACTCAAGACTCCGCCACTGTTCATGAGTAAGGTAAAGCTCATGGTAATAAGCCAAGGCGACGATGGCATGTCTTATACAATCTGTGGACTGAGCTACTTGGAGAACTCTTCTATTCCAAAGGTCATCTTCAAAGAATGTTTGGAAGTTGACCAGGGTCTTCTCGATGAAGAATTGGAATGATCGTGCCTCGGGACGAGTGGTATATGTGGAGATGACGGAGTTTGGGGAGGAGACAGCTGATAGGGGTGACGCAGCTGGGGGGCTAGGTGTGTTGGTTTGATAACCATCGCATTTACGACCAGTAGATGTACCTGAAGTCTACCAGTCAGTCGTAGATCCCTGTATCGAGTTATGCAGAAGGACATACATCTCGTACAGGCTGGACGGGCTTCATCACATTTAACTCTGCGGACTACTTCAGTTAGAACAACGAACACAACGATAGAAATGGAAGACAAGACGTACTCCTACAATCTGTTAGTCATCTTATTTACACTCGTTTGCAAGCCATTCAGAATGAACTCACTTGCAAGTGCCGCAGCCAGTCCGTACTTTCGGTGCTCTAGCACGCTGTCTTTGCCCTGGTTTTACGCGAGTCATCTGAGCCCAGAATGACCATACGAGGTTTTGTCTGGGTCTGAAAGGGTTTGCAGATGAGAGGATGGATGAGTTGCAAAAGCGGTCCTATCCTTTGGATGTCATACCCATCCTGACTGAGATCCTGCACTAAGCCTGATCTGATGTAGCGAGGTCAGATTCCAGACTTGCCCGTACGAGGTGGCAAATCAGAGATCGATGATAAGTGGTTCTCCATCCTCCTCGGGTCAACTTTTCAACGCAACACAGAGAGCCATCGACCATACAGAATGCAGCCAGTGTATTAAAACGAGGAGGACAGTCAGTAGAAGAAGGAAGTATAACAGAAAGTTCCAAAGTCTGCCGCTGTGATGTAGGTGATCAGTATCTCAAGTGAGCCAGATCTCCCATTTCCAAGAACCAGGCTATCTGTATAAACACGTCCAAGGTATACGCCGAATGCTATAGGGAAAGCATTTCACGAAAAGCCCAATATCGCAGAGGGATTTGCTAGCAGTATGGCAGCCACAACATATTGCCCACGCTGAAAAGGTCGAGAAAATGGGCTTGTAATCTAGTACAAAGTCGACAATTGGGAAAGATTCTAGACCCAAGAGAGTAGAGGTAACGGATAGCATGAATTTCATGGTGTTTACTCCGTACTGTAGAAACGAATTTGGCGTCCTTGTACATATCCGTTGGATGTCTCAGATCCGTCGGAGATTGACAGAGATCCGTTGGAGAGCGATGTAACAACGGATCCATCGGAGTAAGCAGCAGCGCAGCCACTCAAAATCTCCCAACCCAGAAGACAAAACCACCTCTCAACAACCTACCACTTCCACCAACAGAATCTCGATAATGTCTGACATAAGAAATATCTCGACACCCATCATCAGCTCCAGCCTTATCGTTGGTGGCTGCGGCTTTTTGGGGTTCCATCTCACGAGACAATTGCTGCAAGATGACGAAAGCGGTCAAGTTTACGTTCTGGATCGCGACGTATCCAGAAACCGACACGAAAATGTGTCGTATATCGAGGGAGACATCTCTGATGGTGAACTTGTGCGAGGAGTAGTCAATGAAATTCGTCCTACTGTCATTTTTCACTGTGCTTCTCCGATCGCAGCGTTGCCTATGAATCGCGAGGGCGAATTTTACGCGACAAACGTCAAGGGCACTGAAGTATTGCTTACGGCTGCTTCTGGATGTGATGCTGTTCAGGCATTCGTCTTTACATCAAGCGTTGACGCGTATGCCAACCCGCCTCACACGAATGCTGACGAGACATATCCTCTTTGGTCACCCCACGACAAGTCGAATGAGTACAATCGGACAAAAGCAATTGGCGATAGCATAGTCCGTGAAGCTAATGGCCCAAAACTACGTACCGTCACTCTACGACCTGGTCACGCCTATGGAGAGAGACATGTCCAAGGCATGGTTGAAGTTCTCGATATGTGCAAGAACAAGAAGCTCGTGCAGATTGGAGACGGGAAGAATCTCATGGAAGTCGTATCCGGGGAGAACAATGCGATAGCTCATGTTCTCGCTGCAAAGGCTCTCCTCGACCCAAGTCGTGCATCCGGCAAGGTTGACGGAGAAGCTTTCAACGTCTCCGATGGAGCTCCAGTACCGTTTTGGCATCACACAAGAGTTATTTGGAAAACAGCAAGAGGTGAAGACATCTCCAAGGATATCATTGTTCTGCCTGCTTGGGTGATGATAGTCGCAGTCTTTGCGGCAGAGTGGCTATTCTGGATATTCACTCTCAACACAGCTAGGCCTCCGGTTGAGTTACGGAGAGTCTCGCTGGAGTATTGCGTCTACACGCATACTTACAGCATAGAAAAGGCAAGGAAGAGATTGGGGTTTAATCCAGTTTCAAATCATGACGCTGTTGTGGCGCAGTCGGCGAGATGGATGTTGAAATATCGAGAGAGCATGAAGCAGAAGTCTAGTTGATTACAGGCTACGACCTTGATCACCAGCATCATGGAGATACGCTGTAGTACTCGCTATCTGATCATGGTATGAAGGCTGGGTAATACGAAGTGTATCTGTTAGGCTCACCGCCGGGGACGGAGTACGTAACCAGGCCGTTTTCAACTCCTTGTGATGAATCTCGGGGGGACAGTCCTACGGAGCAGACGAAAACTCACAAGGCCGTGATTATCACGACAACTACTTGTGGTTAAAAAGTGAACTGGTGTTTGTGTAATAACCCATGAACCTGGAAATTGCTTGGGCACAGAAGCCTTACGTGGCCAGCCAAGGCTTGTCCAATCTTTTACTGTGTTCTTACGAGGTCACGATAGTAACTACCGACGATAATTCAAGCACTCACCGCCACGGCTTTGTAACAGTTCGTTGTTGCACCTCGGTCCGAATGAACAGTTGAAACTTGACCGGTAAGGTATTACAATTGATAACCGTTGCACCAGACTCTGGCCGTAAAATATTCTTGGAACTCGTATGATAATTAGTGGTTGGTGCATCGGTGCTACAGGATCATTGCGGCTCTGCGAATCCCCAGTGTCACAATGAAGAGGTCCTCTGCTTCGTTAGGTAGAGGACCTTTGACAAGTACAAATATCACTATATCCTGTCCTTAATCTTTAGTCGGTCTCCTCAACGCATCAAAAAGTTTCATCAACAAGATAATCAACAATACTTCAGCTTTTAAGTCCATCACTTCTCAAAATGTCTTCCCTTCCCGAGCGCTTCGTCATCATCCTCGATGGCCAACATGTAACCAAGCCAGAGCATGACCACAATGAAATCCGCCCAGCTGAAGTTGGGGACAAGTCTTCCGCCGCCACGTTTGAGCTCCAGGGAGATACTCTTGTCAGCGGTGACTGGGCCTTGGGCTGCAGCAAGCTTGCGGGCCAGGCAGCGAACCACTTTAGAGTGCCTGCCACTCCTGTTGTCTGGTTTAGAAAGGACCAGGCACAGGAACTGTATCCGGTCTTGGTGAAGGAGGGGGAAAATGGGCCTCAGCTCAGATTTGCACGTTTGTGATATCGCGGTCGTATCCGCTTGGCATTTCTGACATGATTGTAGACAACTCTATTGACCAGGAGGGCGGCCCTCTGACTCTCGCCGGCAAGCAGCTTCTCTCTTATACCGCAGGTGGTAAGTCTTCGCGACCTTGGGAATAACTGTGGCTAAACAGTTTTACACAGACCTTGGCGAAAAGACAGTTGTCGAGATCGTGGCCAGTCAGGAGTAAAGCGTCAGAGCCTCTCGAGAACGACTGCACCCTGACAGAAGTCTACATGATAGCATAGGAATTTAGATTCTTCATCATATCCATCTCGAGATTTACTTCAAATACTATTCTGAGCCGCTAGGCTTATGCTGACATTGTGCACCTTGTCCCTCTTGAAATATTTGTCTCGAGTAATGTTTTCATGATTATGCAGAGTTCTTTATCCCTGGCAACCCTAAAAACGACCTTGAAGCAATGAGGCGAGAGCAGAATCATGGCCTCTTGATCAAGCAGTAGGATCATCGTTAGAACAGACACACGAGGGGGTGCTACAGTCTACGTTAGTTACGAATCCTTTCTCGTCTGTGGAAAACTAACCCATTGCTGCAATAGCCACCCTTGTAGTTCATGGTCTGACAGGTTTGCGGGCAGGGATCACCAGCTGGACAATCAGCAACACAAAGGTAGCCTTTGGGTCTAGCAATGAAGTCAGTAACAGAGCATCTCAAAATCGCAGGCAAACTTACTGAGAGTAAAGGCAAGCCCTCTTTCCATTGACCAAGTTCTGACATTCGGGCACCGCACCACTTGTCAGGTTGCAGTTTGTCGTGTCACCGATAAAAGGAACAGTTGTCTGTATACTTGGTACAGTCACCAGAGTACTCGAGCCACTGGCTGGAATTGTCACTAGGATGGAAGTCGTGTTTACGGTAGATGTCGGAACTTCTGGCTTGGGAGATAGTGTCGTCAAGAAGGTTGAAGGTGAAGGTGTACCAGAGGCGATGATGGAAGTGTTGGAAGTACCGGGTGTAGAGGTTGGTACAGGCTCAGCGGAAGAGCTGACTTGGCCAAACTCTGGGATGAGCTGCAAAAGCTGATTCATACTCATGCCTGACAAATCTCTACAAACTGCGCTTCCTTCTGAACCATACGTAGCTGTCGTAGTTGGCACGCTGCATGACTCCGATTCCGTAGAAGTTGAGGTAGGAGTTGAAGTGATCGTAGGCTCTTCGGACTTGTCATCCGGGTCTGTTGGCTTCTGCTCATCCTCAGGCTTGGCTGTCACGACAGCACCAGCAGCGACGGGGATCAAGGCTCCAGCAACAGAGATTGTGCCTCCCCCAGGTCCTCCGAGAACCACGGCACCGACAGGTACTACAACTGTGGCACCACCGCTGACTGTAACAGTTGGTGCTGCTGATGACGCGGTCGTGGTCTCGATGAAAGAAGTGGTGATAGGGCTGTCAGATGTAACCGGCTCTGTAGGAACCCCGCCTGGCGTGGTAACGTTGCTGGTAGGAGTTACAGGAACCTCGGAGGACAAAGGCTCCGTGCTAGTCTTTGGGAGGGTAACGAATGTTGCGGAAGTATTCTGGAAAGGAGCAGGCGGCACTGATTCTGGTAGTGGCTGTGCTTGACGCTTGAAGAAGTTCAAGAAGGGGACTTCTTCACGCTTCTGCGGTAAATTACATGACGAAGATGGAGATCCCGCCGTATCAGGAAAAGCCAATACATCAAGTGCGTAGATAGCGTAGTTCTGAGCGTTCTTGATCTTTTGGGCATCGGAAAGTCGGAAACAGCTAATCTATATCAGCAACAGGCTTTAGAACCCCAATGTCAGACTCACCAGCTAGCTGAGTAACAGTCCTTGTTGGCCTCGAATGGATCCTGCAAGTCATCGCATCGTTCCTCTTCCGACTCAGTAGCCTGCATCATATGCTGAACTTCATGCACAAGCGCAAAGCCACGCGACAGATTGTCACCCAGGGTATGTTCCGTCTTCCACAATTGAACAGCACTATCGAGATTAGGCTTGTTTTCGAAGAAATCAGGACAGAGAACGAGAAGCGTCGCCCCAAATACTGCTGCCCGAGAGCCAGTTGCGCTTTGAACAGCTGCCACCGTATTGCCATCGCATAATGGCTCGGAAGCGGGAGGACAGGCATAGACCAGAGAAGACTCGGTGATGGTAGAGCCTTGCTGGGGATTCAGGAACGGGCTGTGCGAGAGTCGAAATTGGGCTGCGGCAGTGGATGGAATCAGATTCTCCAGAACGGCTTGGAAGTGCCTTTTGAGAATGATGTCTCTTCTACCAGGAGTACCATTACCTTCGAGCTGTGGTTAGAACGGTCATATGTTGTTTAGAGAGAGACATACTTGAGCCAAACCAAGAGTCGAAGGCGATCGACTGTTCAGAGCCAGACTTTGAAAGGACATTGATAGCTGCCTTGGCAAGATCATGTGCCTCGTCTATGGCACCGGAAATTGTTTTCAGCTGGTCTTGGGAACATGGCCAAGCTCCATTAAAGACGTAGAATGCCGTGTCGAACGGTTTGCGAGGGGTCAAGGCATGTGCCAGACAGGCCCATAGAATGAAAGGAAGTAAGTAAGATAAGATCATCTTTCTAATGTAATGAATGTGATGAAAACGAAAAGGACGAAAGAAAAGACCGTGGTTGAGAACAAGCAAATTGGTGAAGCTTCACAAGACGATCTGCTCTTCCGATCATGCTGCTGTTATACCAACTCATAATTGTTATGAAAGCTAATTAAAATTATAGATCCATCTTTACGAATGACGATCTCTAGTAAAGTTCCTTGGAAGGGTTTCAACTATCCCGAAATTATCACCTGAAACAAGCAACGGTTTTCAGTAAACTTTATTTTGCAGATATATCGGATATATCCGTACATGGCTCAACCTTATTTAGAGCAGAACCGTCTGTGCTTCGAAAGGCCCAGATAATAGCATTATCTGTTAAGTGCCGTTGTCTCGAGTGTATGGAGTATTGAACGAGAGTGCGTCATGACAGCGCGTCATGGGCCGATTTGGGGACTTTTGAAGCTTTCGGGTAGCTTGCACGGGGATTTGATAAGCTCCGAAAGCACTCTGGAAGGCAGTTGAATTATAATACATGTTTGGATTCTAAAGTTCCAATCTATTTATGTCAAAGGCTTTGGCACATTGACCGAGCATCAGTCAATGTCGAGACAAGCCTAGATCCAGCCAGGCTTGGCTCAAGCTCATGAAAATGCAGGTAATATTGATGTTTACCATCCGGAGAACTTTCTGGGGCAATGTGTCTTTCATGGGGATAAGCCTTAGAGTCAGGTAGACCTCTCAAACCTATTGATCGCTGCCTTTGCTCTCGCCTTGAATTTTGACTTTTGATATATGCAAATTTAAAGTTTCTATAGGCAAGTAATGGCCGGCAAGTAGTATTCGTTAGTAGGGATATATAACTTGAAAATTTACCGGTAGAAAGTATAACTACTCCCCTACCTTAAAACTAGTCTCAGAACGGACTCTGAGAATTCTGTAACTTCTGGTTCGAACATGACTACACATCTTTCTGCGCTTCACCACTCAACTCTGCCTCCCTTCCTCTGACACTCTTGAATGAATCACTATCCACAAACTCAACAATCTTGCAAATCTTATCACCATCTTCGTTAAAGTGCAGGAACCATGAGAAATCCAACTTCAAGTCTTCGCCGTTGTTGAACAACAACTCCGCAACAGTCGTAACAGCTGCCTTCCGGGCCACAGCATCAATGATCAGGTCGGAGATGGTATTTTTATGCATGCCGCCAACTTTCAGGCCTTCGGTGAAGACGTGAAGGTATTGGTCGTTTGTCATAGTGAAGCCGCCGCCCAAGGTGGAGGGAAGCAAAGATCGTGCACAGTCGTCTGTGACGTTTCGGTTGACAAGAGAGGGGTTGTTCTGAACACGAGCATCAATGAATGATGTAATATAGCTTTTTACAGTAGCCTCGATGGTTGATTTGATGTCGTTAGTCTGTGAAGCGGCCATGGTTGCGGTTATCGAGCGTGATGATATCAGGCTCGGAAATGTTGCTGATATTTACCCAGACACAAGGCTCAGAGACATGTTTATATACTGAAGAACGCTCCTGCAACCTTCAGGTATAAGCGATGTGTCACCAGACTGAATCTCTATGCATGTCGTCTTTTCGGGTGCAATATAAGCTTAATTCTGACAACAAGCAAGACAACTGAGCTAACATCTCACTCAGCAGTAGTTGCCAAGACACACTACCAAGTCTCGCGTCTCGCTTCTCGCATTTATGTGCATCTGATTGAACCCAGTGAGGTCTTGTTGCTGACACCTAACATTCGGCGTAATCATATCAAGACCATCGATGTTCTCGACACGCTGATCTGTCCGTGCTAGCCAAGTTACGTGAATACAGAAATCAAGGCGGGCCTCGTACCAGAAATCTTTTGTCCCCGCTGCAAGGGCGCGTTGAATCCTTTGCCCTCCGTTTGTGGAGTTTTTAGCTTGAAAAATGGGCGGGCCAACATGTCGTTGAAAAGTGAAGAATTAGGAAATTTGATTGGCCAACGGTCCCCGCCCGACGCGCCCTTTGAGTCTCCGCTCTTGCCTGACTTGACTTTGCTGGGCATGTAAGTCTTCGACGAAAGGATATATAGTTGTAGATATGGCCAACATAACTCTCGCAATCAAACACTCATCAGCTCAACATGTCTCCACAAACTGAATCAGTCACCATCATTGGTGCAGGCGTCGTTGGTTCTTCTCTTGCTTATTTCCTCTCCCAATCTTCAACCCCAAGAACCATAACCCTAATCGACCGTTCATTCACTAGTCTCCTGGGTTCATCGGGGATTGCACCCGGCTTCATCGGCCAATTCAATGAATCTGAGATCCTCACTAAACTTGCAATCGACACTGTCTCAGAATATGTCAGAATCCCTGGTGGCTTTGACAGGGTTGGCGGTCTAGAGATTGCCTTCCAAGATGAGGGTATTCAACGATTGAAGACAAGATGTGAAGATGCGAAGAAGCTTGGGCTTGAGGCTAAGATATTGAGCATTAAGGAGGCACATCAGCTTGCCCCAGAGTTGGTCAATGAGGATGGCCACGGGCAGGCGGTCTTCTTTGAAAAGGATGGCACTGCAAATGCAGTGAAAATGACAACTTGGTATCAACAAGAGGCAAAGAAGCGTGGAGTCAACCTCGTGGAAGCTGATGTGAAGCAGCTTACCATCTCAGATGGTCGCGTCACAGGCATTGAGGTCGTTGAGAATGAGACATCACGTCATCTCAATGCCGAGAAAGTCATCATCACAACTGGAATCTGGGCTCAAGGTCTCTCATCAAACCTCCCATTCCCTGTCCCTGTTATCCCCGTCGGCCATCCCTACATGCACGCCCAACCACACGAACCCCTTTCTCACAAGAATTGTTTCGTTCGTTGGCCGGAACATCATGTGTACGCTCGCGATCACGGTGCAAATTTCGGCATCGGAAGCTATGATCACGCACCCATTGCATACAAACCAGATACTTCAGCTAAAGGGGAGTGGGTTGAATGGTTCAAGCAACCTCTCGATTTCGCTACGGGTCTACTTCCTCCTGCTGCAGCCCGAGAATTCCAAGACGGGAATCACTTCAATGGAGTGTTTAGTATGACGCCGGACAATATGCCCCTTGCTGGGAGGGTCGAGTCAGTCGACGGGTTGTTCATGGCAGTTGCAGTCTGGGTTACGCATGCCGCTGGTACAGCAAAGTTCCTGACAAGGATCATTGATGGAGAAGAAGTTGAAGGCAAGACAAAAGAGGCTCTTGATCCTGAGAGATTTAAGGGCCAAGACTTTGCGGAGTTGGAAGAGAAGTCATTGACGGGCTACAATTCTATTTACAAGACCGTTAAGTCAGGGCCGGTTTAGTGATCATTATAGGTTCTTAAGTAGAGCTGTATAATTCTACAAGTTTTGAAAAGGTTGATGAGCTCTTGAGACTTTTATAAAAGCTAGCTATTTAAGTGACTAAATATAGGGATATCCATAAACCTTTACCTAAGACTTAATATAAAGATAACAGCAGTGAATTATATCACATCACTGAGTAGGCTTTGCGATGGGGTTCAACTCAGCAGGGGAAACTTTTTCAATACCAAGGGTGGGTGTGCGGTCATCTTTCTGCCCAGCATCACTCTGACTCTTCTCGTCGCTCTGGCTAAGATCACCGTTCTCACGAGCAAGCTGCTCCTGAATTTCGGCAACCTTGGCGCGACGCCAGATCTTGTCGTCGAAGAAACGAAGGACCGCAAGCGCGAGACCAATGGCGAGAACAACGATGTTGATGGTAAAGCCACGGCGATACTTGGGCTTGTCGTCGGATCGGAAGATCTGGGCACCATAGATACCTGCGCGATGTCATTAGTTATTGATCTAGTTAAGATTCGCTCCTTTAATTTACCGGCAATATTAGCTCCCATAATGACCCTGAGCGTTATGATTAGCGGTAGTTCGATTGTTGTGATGTGAAGGGGTCAAGACTTACATGGCCATAGCTAGTGCTCGTTCTTCTGAATCGTCACAGGCCAGAGACATCCAAGCGATGTTCAGAGGGTGCGAGAAGGTACCAAAGGTTTGAGTCCATACAACACCAAAATAACTGACTCCTCTTCGTCCGAGCTCTGTGAAGATGCGGTTGAACACGTAACCCAACAAGTGCATACTCAAGCCCGCGATGACAGTCTCAGGTCTCTTATTACTACAGAATTGTTAGCAGCGATTCTTTTCGAGCTGAAGGTTACTTACAATCGATCAGAGACGTAGCTGAAGGTCCACGAAACAGGGATCTGAAGAAAGAGACCGACTGAGGCGAGGGCGTTGCTAGTGAGGCCCTGGAAGCCGAAACTCTTGACGATGGAAGGACTGTATGTGTCAAAAGCACGTTGCGGGCCATTATTAGTCAGGGTGATGATGACATGGACCCAAAGGCGCCAGTTGGAGAACTGTTGATGTTAGTCGAGTGTAATCATCTTAGTTGCAGGTGAAGCCCTTACAGCTTTCTTGAAGGCACCAAGACCAATCTTCTTCTTCTTCTTTCCCTTCATAGGGTCATCAAGGAGAACACGAGTCTGCAGAATATGCAGCTCTCTCTCATTGAAGATCTTGACGTTGGGGAGGAATGTGCTTCGGGGATTCTTGAAGGAGTCAGGCAAGCAGCAGCCCAGAACAACACCGCTGAGAACAGTGAAAGCGCCCATGAGAACAAAGAGCCAGAACCAGCCTGCCTTGTCTCCAACGCCACGCATATGGAGAATACCATAGGCCAAGAGCTTACTAGAAGCTTGGCCGAACTGGTTTCCGAAGTAGAAGAACATGACACGTTTAGCAGTTTCCTTGCGTGTGTACCATGTAGACAGGGTCCAGAGTCCGCCAGGGATGAATCCAGATTCGGTGATGCCGAGAAGGAATCGGGTTGCGACGAAGGATCCGTAGTTGTTCTGGAAGGCTTGAAAGGTACTAACTGTTCCGAAGAGGAATAGTTGGAGAGTCAACCATTTACCTGGCCCTACTCTGTACAAAATCATGTTGGAAGGGATTTCGAAGAGGACGATGCCGAGGGAGAGCATCTGTTGACCGACGTTGAACTGGTTTTGGGTGACGCCGACATCTTCCATGAAGTTATCGGTCAGAGCGTTGGCGATATTGCCTCGATCGAGTTCTAATTGTTAATTTATTAGTTTGAACCGTTCAGTTATTAAATGAGGAGGCCAGATGGCTATTGAGAGGACGTACGAAGGCAGAAGAAGCCAAGAGTCAACAAGGGCATGATGATGAGATCAAGCCTACGGAGTCAGCAAAGGGCCCAATCGACGGAAGGTAAAGATGACTTACTTGCGCTTAGCCCTTTTCTCCTCGTCTAGACTCCAATCTTTGTGAAGGGTGAGAGACTCCTCATCCTCTCGAGGCTGAGGGAAGTCCGAGTGGGACTTTGGTGAGACAGTGTCAAGTTTGCCCATTTTCGCGGTCGGTAAAGATACTGGTGAAGACTGCATCGGAGAGGAAAAAAGCGTTCTGGTGTCTCCCTTTTCTATCATCTCAAGCCTTTGCCAAGAGGAAAAGGGCTAGAGCTGGTGTCGGTCTCGATGGTCTTGGCGTGCAAGCCAAGTGAGCACGCAATACACCAAGTGCCGGGGCTGCGCGTCTCCAATGTGGCAGACGGATTGGGAGTCTTTACGGAAAGAATGATAGAGTTTATTTCATGAATTCAGTGAATGATTTACATAGTTCATTACAAGCGTAGATTTCCTTACCTAAGGAATATTTCACAAATTTGAAAATAGTCATCTGCGAGTCATCTAAACTCACGTAAACATTGGGTTTATGACCCTCAAGCCACCTTCTTTGACGCCCAGCAGTACTGCCAGAACGCCTGAGTCTCTTCGTAGCACCACAGCGGAGCTCCAACTCAAGAAAGTGACACAGGAAAAAAGAAAATTGACAGTGGCGACACTAACGAACCATGACCACGGTCCAAGATGGTGTCGCCGTGTCGAGGATCAACAGCCCATCCTTGCAACCCTTCGAACTCCCCGTCCTCGATCCAACCCAAGACATCTTGGCTTATCTCAATTACCACCTTGTGGGGGTAACGAGCAAAATAAATGACTCACCGAATCAACGAGAGCCCAATCATCATCCTGGGTTACCACCATTCCCCCGTGAGGCGCCTGCATGGTGTCGAACTCTATCACAGTAGCCCAGATCAACTCCCCGCCAGAGCTCCCGAAACTTTTCGCTCGGCGCACTTGGCATAAGAATGCCAAGGGAAATGACAAGAGACAAGTCGGGCGGGGAGCTCAATCACGTCGAGTTCTAAAAACGGCTCCTCAAAGCCGTTAGCGAAATAAGAAATGCGACGAAAGAGGGAGAGAAAATGTCTACCGGGCGTTCAATCACATGAATGTCACTCAAATTAAGCTTATTCTGAGCTTTAATCTAAGCTTTATACTGTGGGACCGCCGCTCCTTCCTAACCAACCCTTGAAATCATCCTCTTAGCGTCGGAATCATCGGTCCAACCGTCCAATTCCACGAGTTCCGAATGACGGAATTCTTGTCTTGATGAGACGATAAGCTCATACGAGCAGAGATCACCCCCATGCTAAGAGCGTGTGAAGTACGCGATGACCAACGACAAGCACGACAAGACATGCTCGCCGACTTGGCAACATAATTGCTTCTTCCCTGAACACGAGACCAAGCCTCTTGTCTGACCGAGCATGCATACGCGGGATGACATTTCGTGACTCCGCACCGATAATCCGAGTATTTTTTCCTCCTTTTGACCCTTGTCGCTTCGGATGTCGCAATTCCAGCCTCAAATTCTCACCACTAGAACATGGGTTTTCTAGCTTGGCTGATGAGATTTATCACAGACTAATGCGTGCTTACCCCCACAGACGAAATCTTGCAGGGATTTGAGGTGATCTGGACGAGAAATAACCTTAATCGGCGACTGCCCGATTTTAGAAGTGTATCTTTATTGGTATACCCGGCAGGTGACATCGTGGTGGATCGTGTCGAACGTTGGGCGAATTCGTTAAACGACATCCATTAAGCCACGTCAACTCAGCCATTTTACACCGTAAAATAAGGCCTTCAATGTCTTCTAAGCTAAGTGACGGGCACAAAATTTCGTAAGCGGCACTTCAAAGCCAAGATCACGATCAGATAACTCCAAAGCGCAGCTACCGATCGACCCCATCATGCTCAGTCGAGAACCTCTCCCACCAACGCTAACCACCCTTGCTTAGGCCAAGCCAACGCCAATTCGCAACGCTTAGCTTAAATGTCGTGATTACGAGGCCTCCACGGCGAGGAGCCGTTGGTCCACCGCGACGGTCCGCCGTGGCAGCCTCCAACTCCCCGTCCCAGCACATGGCGTTCGATAGTTTGTTCAGCTCAGTGGCAAGTTGGTGTCTTAGCTGGCACACCTTCGTCTGAACTCCCCGTCCAGCTGGCTTTTGAGTCTAGAACTGGCGGCATGAGACAGGTGGATTGCGTGAGAATGGCCGATCATTGGTTTCTGGTCATTTGCCTTCTTGCGGCTGAATCAAGATGTCACACTGGCTGCTGAGACGAAAAGCTTCTGATGTTAACTTAGGGTGTCAGAATAAACTGGTCCAAAGCTCTACAAAATTACCCTAAACTTACCTAAATCTTTTTATCACTTAGGATAAAGGTCCAAGGTTTCTTGCCTCCCTTGGAGAGGTAAAACTGAAGCCCGATAATCTCGATGCTGCTACGCCTAATATTTGCTTATTCTTGTCCAGATCCCTCCTATTGTATATGATCTGCGAGACTATTGCCATCAGCTAGCGCCTTCGCCATTGTCACAAGATCTTGTGCGAGTTTGCATCGAACTAAGAAGCAAGACATGATTGCGAACCGCGCCGTCAAATGAAGGCCCTTTCAGATCGCTCCCGATTTCTACTTGTGATACCCTCGTAGCCACAAACCAGTACCTGCTGGGTCTCAATAGATTTACAACAAGCTTCGGCTCGTAGAAAAGGCCAGAAGAGCCGTTGGTGGGAGAGACGACGCTGAATATTTTTTAAACGAGTGGCATTGTCTAATATGACATATAGATTGACAGTTCTCCAAAAGATCAGAACATACATAAAGAAGGACTTTGTAAATAACCAATAACATTACATGCTTAAACAAACGCGATACCAGGCTTCTGACCCTTTCCAAGATCCTCATCGTCCGAGTGACCGTCCAGAGATCTTCTAGATGGCAGGTTGACTGCGCTAGGATCAACATGGCGACTGAAGCGGTTGTACGCAATAAAAGTATCCTTGTCTCCTGCGATAGCGTTGGGAGGAGTCGCGACTCGCACAGAGAGGCGTCTCATCTCAACAGCATCTT